GTTCGTGTTGCCAACATAACAAATCCAAATTGCATTGTGTATCACGTGCTGTATTAATCGGTGTAGAAGAGGTTACTATTACTTTTTGTCGGTGATCTTGTAATCTGAGAAATAATTTTTGTATGTTATTTTGATATTCTAAAATTAATATTGCTCAGCTTTACATGTTAGAATATGGTAGTTGACTTTGTGCAGTTGGTAATGTTCAACCCAACTCCAACCCCAACGTAACTCTGATCCCATGGAAACAGGCAAGGCAACTTAACTCTAACCCGACTCTAACCCGACTCTGACCCGATTTGGACCCTCGATGGAAACGTAGTCATAGGTACATTTCGTATAAACTGAGATTTTAGTAACCAAGGAAACATCAATGCGTGTTTACAATGTTCGCAATGTCAAGCATGCAAAACCAGTGATTGTTCGACAAATAAAAAGTGTATAGTGAACAATGTAAAATAATGATAATGTATGAAATATACAAGATAAATGAAATATTATATCCAGTTTCTTAACTGTAGGAAAGAAAATATTTCGCTAAATGAATGGAATTTATCGCAACATGATCATCCTATTGTGAAATGAACTAAATATGTCAATATCTAATGTACGGACTTTACATAAACATATAGGAGTTACAATGTTGTTCATATTATATAGATCTCAATATATATAAATGTAACAATCGAAAAGGATGGAAAACTTTGTAAACTATTAAGCTGTGTGGATTGGTTATTCTTACGTAGCATACAGTATACACATATTTATGATGCATTTTTGAACACACGGGAAACGTACTACCAACCATAGCCTTCTTGAAGCGATCGGCGTGTGAAGCTGTAATGGACGAAAAGAAGTGATTAGCAGCTGAAAAATTGTGAAGGTGGAAATTTCAGTTCCTGTGTTTAATGTAACATTTTTATGACTGCATAACATTAATAAAATGTCATAAATAATTTTTCAAATGATGATTATTGCTTTACTTCTATTTTCAAATACATTATGTAAGTATAAGTTTGATTTTTTATTGAAATCATTTAATGGTTAGAATACCAAAGCATCCATTAATGTCTTGTCTAGTACCTATAGGTATTCTTATGAAAAAGTATGTTTTTGTATAATATAATTTGTAGACTGTACAGTTTCTGCACATTATTCTTAGGATTAAACTTTTTCTTTTCTTAATATTAATTAGTGTAATAAAAATTCACTTAAATGCATGCCAAAAGTATGTTTATGAAGTATATAATATCTAGAAGGTTATTATTTGTTAAATATATTTAACTTTTTTATTTACAATATTTCATCAATTTCAGTTTGCTTTCAAATTTCAAATAATCTTAATATACAGTGAGGTTTATTTGTGTGTTCAAATTTTAGACCAGTTAAGTGTTTGTAGTTAGGTCCATTGGATTAATAGAGTTAGTTTCACGATTCTAACATTTAACATGTTCATTTCTATAAGCAGTTAATTTGGTACAATGTTCTTGTGCAGAGTAATGATATCTCACTGACATTTAGTCCTATTTCTCCATCCATTCTCAAATTCATCTGGCATCCTAGATAAATATCGAATTAAACTCCAGATTAAACAGACTTCATTGTATATTAACATCGTACATATGGTTTACCATTATATTTTGAAATTCTATAAAATTTATAAAATTTCATGTTTATTACATATTTAATACATTAATACAATTATATTAGAAGAAGGTTTAAAATAATATATTTTATATGAATATGTAACATCCATGTATTTTAAGTACGTCTTAAATATTTTTTAGTGAATACACTGCCATAGTACTATTCAAAGTAAGAAATGTCTTATCCTGGTCAGCCTCCTATGGGTATACCAGGCATCCCACCTATGCCTTATATGGTTGGCGCACCTCCACCAATTATAAGTGGTGTGATGCCTATGGCACATGTAAGTAAATATAAAAATTAAATGCATATATATCATAGCATGTTTGTTTCTATATATGATATTGGTGAATTCTTAGATTTTCTTTAATCATTTTTGCACTTGATAAATATTATTACATTTGTAAGAAAACATTGAATGATTTGTTTAACAATTGAAATTTCATTATAATATAATGTTTATTACAATTCTTGTACATTTTTAGAGTTACTTAATTTCAGTAAGAATTATGTATTTTTTATAAATTCTTTTAACATTATTTTCTGCTATATGATTTTTATTTTTTCTGACATTTATGTAAAATCAATTAGAAGATAACTTGTTGTTACTGTTTTTGTGTTAAGTAACAATAATAATTGATATCTGCTTATTTGTATTTAAATAAAAAGAACTAAAACCATTATCAACAAGTGCAAGAAATTTTTAACAAGCAATATATGTATTCAGATAAAAAATGGAAAAAAGAAGCATGTCATATTTTGTTTAATCAGTATTGTGTGAGCAAATTGATGTATTAGATAATATATTAGATGAATTTGTCATGTATTTTTTACATAATACTAATTTTATCTTATATTTTCTGTATCTTAATGTGGTTATGCTATGTAATGTATTAACATTTTATATTTAGATTATAATTACATAAAGTATCTTATTGTAGAATTGTAATGGATAAAGCAAAAATTTATTTTAAACTTCTGATTTCTGATAATTTTTTATTTTATGTTTATTATGTTTAATCTTTGCATGATCAGCTTTGTAATAGAAGATAATTAAACAGAAAAAAGTGTATTAATATATTATTAGGGGTAGGGAAGATTCTGGATTGCATGAGTAGAGATGTGTATTATTAAGAATACTACCATTTATAAAAAATAGATGATTCCAACACCCGTATCTGCGATGCAGACCTCAGCTCCAGCTGTTCGGTATGCTCGTAACCAGAATCGCCATGATAATAATCGTCGCCGTGAGAGAGAATCAGGTCCACCAGTTACTGTATTTATCGGTAACATTATGGACAGAGCACCTGATGTAATGATTAGACATATACTGGGTGCATGTGGCCACGTCCTCTCATGGAAGAGAGTCCAAGCATTTGGATTTTGTGAATATGCAGGTCCTGATGCAGGTCTTAGAGCAGTTAGATTACTTCATGATATGGAAATAGGTACGAAGAAACTTGTGGTGAAAGTTGATGCGAAAGCTAAAGTTGTATTGGATCAATTTAAAGGTAAATTAAATATTTTTAAAATATGGTTATTTTTATATTGCACATGTATTTCATTTATTTATTTCGTACTTTTAGCGGAAAGAAGAAAAAAATTAAGAGGAGGTCAGTCACCTTTACAGGATGAAACACCTACCGAAGGAGTTGAAGGAGAGGAAGGCGAAGATTACATGGATGAGGGCATGAGAGTAGTGGATGCAGATGCACTAGCTCGTATTAATCAAATTATAGCTGAACATGCTGCTGATTTGGAAATGGCACAAACTGCACCTGGTAGGATCTTGATTTTCTTACAATATTTTAAGTAGTTATGTTAAAAAATTAATAAATATCATTTCCTGACATATTGTAGAAGAGCATCAAACAAAGATGGTTGCAAAATCATTGAACTTGGATGATGCAGAAATAGAAGAAAGTAAAAGAGACTTGATTACCAGAGAAATTGGAAAGTTCAGGGAGGTTATGAAGGTAATTATTTTTACGATTATCTTTGCAATCTTCTTCTTATGTCACTCCTACTTTTCTGCCCTTCTTTTTTGGACATATTGTCGGATGTGATATACCAAAATGTCAGAAGGTATTACAAATTGTGGTCTAATAGGATTGGGTAAAAAATTTGCAAAAGTTTAGGTTTACAGATATTAACAGTTATTGTAAAATTATTTACTGACATGCGAATTTTTTACGAAGCATTATGAACATTATTCTGTACTATGTTGTAATCTCTTCTAAAAATTTTTCTTATATATTAGTATCTATCATATGATTTTCTATATATAAAATGTACAACACATTTCATTCCTTATAATTTTTCTTTAAAAAGTATAGTCTGTTGATAGAAAAATTAGATCTATTATGTTTGCAATTATTTACTTATTTTTATATATTCAGTAAATGGTAGAATGTTGATAGAAATTTTTCTTCTCTATTTTTAAAATTTGAAAATATCATTGAGAATATGTTTTTAATACTTTGTAGTATCAGTTCTATTATCTTCAAACAGGAATTATTTTTTCCATTCATTTTTTGACAAAGAAAAAATAAATAAAATTCATTTTTTGACAATGTTAGAATACACGGATTATGTTGAAACTATTTTATAAAGAGCAGTTGTTAAATATTGAAATCAGAATGTTCACATCTTTTGATTCTATGAAAATAACTATATTAAAAATAATATTTGATTTGTGAATAAGGGTATTTTCATTAAAGTCACTATAATTGGTAAAGTTTGTTACACAAATATTTACATAAATATATAATTTAAATGACATAATGAAATGTATTGTAAACACTTTGTGGATTTAGAAATATTTTGTTGCATCTGATTATATATGCAATTCACGTTAGACATCTTTTGATTAAACTCGCAGTATATATGTCGAAAGTCATATAATGTATTTGGGCAGGCAAAAGAGGATTACAAATGCATAGTTATAAAGTTTAGTTTTTAAGTATTTTGTGATAAAGTGCGTGTGTGCTATGTTAGCTCTGAATAATTGGAGCCGTGACTCGTTGCTATAATTATAATAACAGGCAGCGTGCGTCGCACACAGCAAACGCACACGCCTAGGAATGCTGTGTGTGGGGACCACTCTTTCACTCACTCATTGGCTCTGAAGGGAGTCAATCACAGCACATCCCTCGTATTTTCGCAGGCAGCTGCAGCCTCGTCGGTAAGTCAGAGTATATCCAACCAACAAAACATGAAAAAACAAGAAATGTGCAATATTAAGACGGGAGAATCTTGTACAACATGCTGACACCATATAAGCAGATAAATCTGTTTCTATTGGAACTCAATCTTCTTAACTCGTCACGTATAATTCTGCGTTATATGTTAATAGCATCGTTGCTATTGTATTTTGAATTTATTTCACATGATCAAATTTTTTATCCGCTTCTATACTTATTGTGCTAAACTGCTAGCACTAGTACGTTCATAAAAGTACAATAATTGTCATGTAATATTGTATTCAATTTTAAGAAAAGAAAAAAAAGAAATACTAGGCGAGTAATCCGATAGCCTCAAAAAAGAAAAGAATACCTTAATACTTACATAATAATAAAACAGGATACGAAGTCACAAGAGTAAAAAGAATTGGAAGGCTTTAATAGCAACATTCAAAAGATGTTTCAATGACTCAACGTCAACATTGGAGATAAAATGAATCATTTTATATTAAAGTCTAGCAGTCTAGTATTGGTAATAGAAGATCATTAAATTGCTATTCCAATTGTTTTTACATATTAGCTAGGACTGGCAAAAATATCATTTTGAACAAAGAAATTTGACGCTGACATATTTTATAATATATTCTTAGATAGATTATTGATAGGATCGAGACTTTCTGAATCCTACACACAATGAAATGATTTTGTCTTCACAATGGCGACTGTTCAGTTGTTGTCTTTATTTTGTGTAAACAGCTTCTGTCAGCGTCTCGATCAGACATGTAGTACCTAGGTGCGCGCTCCTCCATTCTCCGGTACCACCACACTGACTGACCAAGTCAACTTCACACCGTGAGTAAACTCCACAACCATGAGCCAACACAACCATTCGGTTCTTGTAGTTTTGTTAGTGAACTGCCCATCTAAAATACCTATGACCACTGATATTTCATGTTTCAACAGTCTGTTTTTTCCTCATACGTGCATCTATTTTTATGCACTCAATTATTCTGTCCTTATTAGTTTAAAAAAAGATATGGGTTACTGTATGGATGTATAACTATGAAAATTTAAAAAAAAGCAACTTATAGATGTGAATGTGCTTTTTTAAATACATTGTTATATTTCCTATTAGTAATTTTATGTAAAGTATATTCCGGTAAAATGATAACACTTCTAATTACATTTCCTTTTCCTATCAGAAGGGTATATAGGAATATTTTGTCAAATATTAATGAAAGTTGATTTAGGATTCTCCAGGCAGTAATCCATTATTGTCACTATTATATCAGTAAGGATGAACCATACTAATTTATTTCTAAGACGTTACGTTGATAACACGGGACGATAAGGGTGGGCAAACTATTGTGCATTTGATATCCAACAGTTTGCTGCATCAGCTGCATAGCCAGAAGAAAACAAAGTTGACAGACGTGTGACAATTTCTTGGCAAAAGTGAAAGATGTTTTGGTGGAATCCCTTCTTCGTGATGACTCCGCTTCTGATTGGTATAATACTTTCTAATAATTATTGAGTATTGACAAGAAATCTAAATATTCATCCCTTTCGACTCTTAGACTTATATAGTTTTTAGACACTATTGATTTACAGGCACATTTGCAATGTTGTAAGTACATTGGGTGGCCTCTACGATGCGTCTGTTAGCATTAAGGTATTCTTAATTTAAGTAGAGCTTAAGAAATTTCTTATGCTTGTTTCCAAAATTTATACCTGCACTTAGGTAATTGATATGTAAACAAGATTTCGTGTAAGATGCTGCTGACCGAGCATGCTCCAGTGGAGTGAGTATACCATACTGAGATGAACAAAATTATGATATCTGATATGTGATTAATTCTTGTACAACTAGTAATCGTTTAATGTTATAATTTTTTAAATGTTAGATACTAAATTTATTTATATCGAGTTTATAAATGACAATGAATTTTTAATCTTTTTCATAAGGAATCCAAATTTTTTCTCAAATATTTTAAGTAATATAAAATTGGTTGTTTCGTTGGTATTAGCAGGGCATTAACTATGAAAGAGTATCAGTATATTTTTTATAAGTTTTAGTATTAGTTGATAAAATTTCTATGATGTTATTCTTCAGATAATGTATATTGTATGGATATTCAATGTGAAATATTTTATATTTTATTAATATGTGTGTATTATATATATTATATATTCGAAGGCATTTATATTTTGACTTAAAAAGAAATGATAATACTGCACTGTTATAGTGTAATGATATTACCACTATTTTTTATACATATTAACTAACTTTTCACTTACAGTAACCTTTTTTCTACCCTTTAATTTCTATAACTCAGGAGAATACGATTGCTAGTTTTTGCGTTTTATTATCACAGCCTGATAAGTTTACTGTGATTGTTTGGTCTCACCCATTCTTGCATTTTTGTGTTTTATAGAAGCAAGAAGAGGAGAAGGCACAAGTAAAACGGAAGAAAGAAGCAGTCGAGAAAGAAGAACGGGAGAAGCGCGAAAAAGAACGACGGGATAGGCGGGATGGTAGTAGTACTAAAGATGACCAAGATGGTGATCCTAGCAGTCCCACATCTCATAAGGGGCGCAGTAGTAGTATTGGAAGTAGTAGAAGGGATAAAAGGCGGTCTAAGTCTAGGTATTATGCTCTCTGATATTTAGAAAAGATTAATTCCATTTTACTATTTACAAGTAATTGAAGTACTATAACAAAAACTATAATGTAACAGAACAGAATAATTTAGTACAGAATATTAATTCTAATTAAATACAAAATATCACTCATATGCAATTTCAAATATTAACATTTTCTTTTCATTCAAGGTCTAAGGAACGGGATAGAGATCGTCAGAGAAGCGAAAGAGATCGTGATAGAGACAGAGATCGAGACAGAGACCGTGAAAGGGAACGAGAAAGAGATCGAGATCGTGAAAGAGAACGTGAACGAGAACGTGAAAGGGATAGAGAAAGAGAAAGAGATAGGGAACGGGAAAGAGAACGAGAACGAGAAGAAGCAAGAAAAACCGAAAGAGAAATTATGCGCGAAAGGGAAGAAGAGGAAGAAGCGAAGGAAAGGAAGAAGAACGAGAGAAGAGCGCGGGAGAAGGAAGCGGCGTACCAAGAACGTTTAAGAGCATGGGAGACGAGAGAACGTCGCAAACAAAAAGAATACGAGAAAGAAGCAGAGAAGCGTAGAGCAAAACGGGAGGCAAGAGAAAGAGAAGCAAAACGTTTGAAAGAATTTCTCGAAGACTATGATGATGATAGAGACGACGCTAAATATTACAAAGGTAAAGAACTTTCACGGCGTTTGGAAGAGAGAGCGCTGGAAGCTGAAGCCGATTCACGGGATCGTTGCGCTGAACGTCAAGAACTTCAACGTCTTCGCGACAAACTTTATGCTGACGCCTCTCATCCAGATCCGGCCGCCGAATTTGAAAGGGTAAAGTGTTTTATACTAATATTTGATGGGACGGTAACAAGGTCGACATGAATATTTGTAATGCCGAATTTCAAAATTATGTGATGACAAAAAAAGACGAATGTCTGTTCTGAGTACAAAATGCTAGAAACGTAGAATACTTTGAACTTGATGTGATTCACTTGGGGATGCTTCAATCCAGACGTGCTTCAAACTTGGAACGCTTCACATTGGAAATGTTTCGAACTTGGAATGCATGTGTTGAAACGCTTCAGGTTTGAAGTGCTTCAAACTTAGAACATTTGAACTTTGCAACGATTCAAGCTCGAATGGTGCTTGAATCTCAGACTGGTTCGACTTTAAAATCCTTGTAAATTTTATAAGAAATTTAGCCATACAAATACATATTTATTAAGTGTACGTATGATATTATATATACTACTCTGCAAAATTTGCAATGCCTTTTTTTTAAATCACAACGTTTAGAGTGTATGATACAATCTGTAAAAGTTTGAAAATTTATAACGTATTATATGATTTCAGTTAAAAGCTGAACGAGAAGAACAGTATAAGCCTAAACCAGTAATTACAATAATTGACGAGGAGGATGAAAAAGTAGTGAAAAAGGAGAAAGAAGTTATGCCACCTATAGAAACTGAGCCAATTGAAAGTGATAGTGATGAATGTGTACAATTCGATGATGTTTCCCAGTCGGAAGTACCTTCTAGAACACCACCAAGACACCATCATCACCATCGAAGGCATCATCGTCATCATCAGAACCATCATCGGGACGGTGAAGAAAACGAAGAAGTCGTAGAAACAGATAGGGAAAGTGTAAAGGGAACGAGATCGTCACCTTCTCATCAAACTGTAACAACTCCAGTTCAATCCATTCCACCAACATTAGACGAAGATTCGCGCATGTCTCTTGTTAGTGAACCAGAAAAAACGAGTAGTAGTGAGTAAAAGAGTGCCATTTTTTGATAGATCGATGAATAAGTCGTTCGTCCATGTGTTACATTTATGTGACTTTAGGTAACTTTGTACCGTTTGCTATGGGAAGCGGAGGCAATCGTGGCAATGATCACGGTATTGGTAACAAAACCCCTGCTAGTCCAAGCACAGCTGTTAATCTTAATTCGCAACAAACAAATCAAAGTAGGAAGAAAGGTCGAATCGACGTTAAAGATGTATTTAATAACGACGACGACGATGACGGTGCTAATAATGCGAAGAAGCGTAAACTAGTTCCTTTAGGTGAGTTTTGAAGCATATTGTTGAACATGAACGTATTTTATATCTAATAAAATTGTATTTTAGATTATGGTGAAGAGAAAAAGAAGAAAACCAGTGAAGAAGCTCCTAAATCCGGTAAAGAAGAAAGTACAAAAAGTCAAGAAGAAAAACGGAAACACATAAAATCTCTTATTGACAAAATACCTACAGATAAAAATGCTTTGTTTGGATATCAACTCGACTGGGCCGTAATAGATAATGTGCGTGTTACCTACATAAATTTATAATTTTGTGTCGAGTTGTAATTAATGCTTTCTTATATTTATATAGACATTAATGGAAAAGCGGATAAGGCCGTGGATCAATAAGAAGATTATTGAATATATTGGCGAACCTGAACCTACATTAGTAGATTTTATTTGCAGCAAAGTAATGGCTGGCAGCTCACCTCAAGGCATACTCGACGATGTACAGATGGTAAATTATTTTTTGATTGAATTGACTATAAAAATATAAAATTTGTATTATTTTAACGCGATGTATGTTTGCAGGTATTAGACGAAGAAGCAGAAGTGTTTGTAGTGAAAATGTGGAGGTTATTAATTTATGAAGTGGAAGCTAAAAAAATGGGCTTAGTTAAATAAATGAGATATCAATTAAAGTACTAATCGACTTAAAGATTTATACTACACATCAAATTCCTTTGGTTAAAATGTAATATTTAAGTTATATACCCCAATACACAATGGATTATGTATAATTTGTAGCAATCTTCGCTAGACAGCAGACACGTTGTTGCTCGATTTAATAGGTAACATGAATGTGTAGCAAATGAGATGTTAAATACAAGTTGTAATTACGATTTATAATATTTGAGTTGTGTTTTTTCAAATTTGCTTGTCCATAGGTTTAGAAAATAATCTTTACATTTTTATTGTATTTACTGTATTTCCTTAGTATCTCTTGATACTCTTATCGACACGTACATTTCATATTTCTAAATTTGTTAACAGATAGCATTTGATTAACATGTTTAACTTATTTAGATAAGTTTTATAAGAAAATTATATATAATTTTATAAAAAATATCAATACAGTTTTTGTAAATACAGACATTTTAAATCATAACGTATTTGATGTTGGTAAAAATAATTATTCATTAATATACCTATAAGTTTAATTTAGAATTCATATTTTTAATATCAGTAATTATTACAAACTATTAATAATTAATTTTTTACTTCATTTAGTTAAAAATTAGAAATAAAGCAATCTTCCGAGTAAAACAAAAACGTTAAAGTTAAAAGTGTATTTATTTACTAAATTTTTCAATTTTCAGATTATCAAATATATAACATATGAAATTTCTAAGCTTTTACAACATTTTACTAAAATTTATAACATTTGAAGTTGTTATATTTTCAAATATTCAAATACAGAGAACCTGAAATGGATATACAAGAATTTCTACGTCATTATATTCCTAAATTTCTAAATTAAAAAATTTCTATTCTTTTAAATATTCAATGTCCCCATATTTTAGAATCCCTAGTTTTCAATTTTTTAAATTTTCAAACCACAAAATACTCAAATTTGATTTAAATTTTCAAAATTTCCCAATTTCTAAATTTTTGAACTTGGAAATTTATAAGCTTATTAATGAAAAGGAGTTTTATTATTAATTTCCAAAGCGGGCGTTTGATTTTGACGTGAAGATATTTCTGTCGGAATAGCTGGATTAATAATAATAATATATATTGCTTTTCTTTTTCATTTCTGGCTGTATAATTTGATAAAACAAATTTATTGGAAATCTACTGATGGGGTAGATTATTGAGAACTACATGCATCTGTTATTCAAAATATTAATTGAGTATCATCCCTTTTGATATTATGAAACAATATTTTAACAAGACTCGTTTCTCAGTATAGAAAACAAAATTAGAGTACAATATTTAAAAAGTTGAATTCAAAACATGAACAAGTATCAAGTACAATTACGAAGTATGAAAATAGTAGGCAATATTCATTAAAAATAAAAATACTTCCTAAAGATCTTTCCCACGAGCTTCAGTATGATAAACGCGTTAAAGACGCAGTATTTCATGAACAAAAGAAATTACGAAATATCGTAAAAATAGTAGGTAATATTTGTAAAAAATAAAGGCCGTGCGTAATAACCTTTTCCACGAGCTTTAGCACGGCAGAGCGCGTTAAAGATGCATTGAAAGAACGCGATAGAAAAGAGTAGGTACAATTACGAGATCTGTTTCTGTGTGAGGTGACACGGATGGTGTAATCCATGGTAGAAAGTTGGCGAGACGGGTGTCCCAGCCGCGTAGCACCACTTCTCATATTATTTGTTGTTAAGTGCATGAAAGCTTTTTTCGAGGGCTTAATACAAGCTCTCGGTTAATAGCGGAGCATTATTGTGTTCACGGGGACACGAGTGCGGCACAAGCTTAGAGTCTCTCTCTTCTTCGGCACTACACGAAAAAACGCAGCAAGCCCAACCTTTTATGGATTCTTTGTCGCGACGCGATTATGTACCAGCCAGCTTCTCATCGGCACCTCTTTTTCGTGCCTTTTTCTTATGTATTTATACACACGAACCCTACTATACACGCGCTCGCGCTTCCTTTTAACCGGCTAGTCTTACTGATGCACGACACGTTGAAACCAATTTCACTACCGGCGAGAGAGGATACCTTTCAACGGAAAATGTAGGCTGAATAGACGAGAAAAATGCGGTTATCGATGATTCTGTAACTAATAGTTCAGCCATTAAATTATTGATAATAATTATTGATAACCCAAAGAAGGGTGACCTATGTCTATTGGCAAAAATAAGTGGACCAAAGTGAATCTAGACAACCATATACACTACCGTCCATAAGTATCCGGACACTTGATTTCGTTACATAAAACATAGTGGAACTTTGTACGAAAGGTATTTAGGGTTATCATATCATTTGTAATAATTATTATCTTTCTTGAGGTGTCATAACGTAATAGAATTAATTTTTAAGTACAAATTATACAATGAAAGTGTGAAAGTAAAGTTTATGTCCAGAAGTACAAAGTCCAAATTTGTGAATCTAATGAAACGCCTTCGATTCTAAACAAAATGCAACAGTAACTAAAATTGATTTTTTTTCTGCAAAGGTCAGAATACTGGAACGTTTTTCGATTGATAATTCTCGTTTGGAACTCATATCTCGATGGAAAAGAAGCTACAGACGAACTAAACCGAAACTGTCGAGTGCGTAGCGTTACCTCCATTCTTATCTCCATTGAGGGAACCTAAACATCTACCAACAGTTTACAAACACTTGAAACATATCGAAGAACCCTCTGAATACGTCCTGCACTATAGAAATGAAACACAGTAGAAATTAAAATTTTGTTTAGAATCGAAGGCGTTTCATTAGATTCACAAATTTGGACTTTGTACTTCTGGACATAAACTTTACTTTCACACTTTCATTGTATAATTTGTACTTAAAAATTAATTCTATTACGTTATGACACCTCAAGAAAGATAATAATTATTACAAATGATATGATAACCCTAAATACCTTTCGTACAAAGTTCCACTATGTCGAATGTATATTTCGCTTGTGTCCGGATACTTATGGACGGTAGTGTACTTTATATGTTATATTAGAAAATGATTAAATTTTCAAATTGTTATTTCCAATATTTCAAATTCTTCACATTGAAAATTTTTCGGATAAAATTACACCAGTAAAATTACAAAGAAAAATGCTTACAATTTGATATCAGAATAATTTGTTTTTCATTATGCACAATATGTAGTCATTCAGGAGTATTGCCAATAATTTCAACAAAATTTAATAAAGTCTCGAACACATTATTTACTCAAATGTAAACCTTAATTATTTTACACTCGCTTAATTTTGAATTTCTAGGGCAGTATGTATTAATAACTCGTAAGCTCGTATTTTCTAGTGTGTTGTAATATCTTGGTAAATACCGGTACCAGGGGTCGGGAAATGAGCAAAGCAAGCTCTCGGTTTACCACGGCCAATTCAATGACTATGGTATACTGTACAGAGCACATTACCTGCAACAATTGTATTATACGCCAGATAGCTATTGTGTTAGTACTGCATCCATATTAGATTTGAAGAAGCTTCAATCTGATAGTACAACAGATTTCGTATAAATATTATCAAGTACCTTTAACGTATAAACAAAGTTTATTATGTAATTAAAAAAGAAATAACTTCAATTATTTTAGTCATTTAAATTTAAATTATTGTGAAAAATTTAATTTCATAAATTATGAAATAGTGTTTCACATTGGCTGTACATTTTGAGCGTTGGATCTAAGGGCGAGTTGTAATGGGTAACATAACACTGTTATAAAACAGCAACTGTTTAATTCGAAGTTTAATGTTTATTATTTTCGACAACTATTCCTAAATATTAAGAACAAACATTCTTAACATTTACAAAAGTATCTCTATTTTTCATCAATCTCGGTGAATCATGTAAAGGATAAGCGTAGAGCAGTCTCGCCATCAATTTCAGTATTTATTCACATAAAATAGTGCTTTTTCATAGAAATGCTTTTATCGAGTGCTTTTATAGAATGCTTTTAATAGAGAGTAGTTTTTAGTATCTCAACAGAGATGGGATAATACTAAACTTCATTTTTTTTCTCGAAAACTATTGGAGATGTTTGAACAGATTAAAATGCACTTTGTAGATATAGATTAGTTCTGCTTCACCTAATTTTTTTTGTAATTTTGGGACATTTATTAACCCTTTGCACTCCTATGTCGAGTGTGGCTTGACATCACATTTCTCTTGAATCATATAAATAATTCAGATAAATAGATTGGTTGAGTGTATACATTTTCATTTATTTACTATTTATAATAAATGAAAAATGTATTTGTTACATATACCACACTGTTATAACATATTTTATTGAGAACATTTTTTCTTATCTATTTTGTAAATGAAGGAATTGGTAGGTAATAGAAATTAGGGAGTGCAAAGGGTTAATGTCATAATAATATAATTTATATTTTAAGGATGGTTTTTATAAACAATCCCTTCACTGAAACCTACAAGAAAAATAAAGAATGCTATATTATTTAGCTGTTGTCTGTAAAAGTTGCAGGAGGGTTGAATTGGTAGTACACAGTTAAAAAAAGATCAATGTAATACCTGCATATCCAGCTCTTTCAGTATTGTTGCAAAAATCTGTATATTCAATCGAAGATATATTAAATATTTGTTTCTAAATTAATGATATTTAAAAAATAAAGGATTGTAACGTAAATGCGTAAAGGCATTTCCGTCATAATTTCACCGCAACTACGAGAGGGTCACCCCACGTTTTGGCCGCAACTAATGCGGGCAACCGCTTACAGTAGGCCGCCAGCGAAAAGCAGACCAGGCTTTACGTAGCATATATTAATTACAGGTAACGCGACAGTTGAACTCTATCTTTTTGAGAGCTATTCCAGCATTCGGCGTAGTACGCTCACCGTCCACATCGGCATTTCATTCGATGAGATGCTAATCGTAGTCGACGTGACAGGCATATCCTCATTGCTGGATGATTCTTTTCTCAAGTAGAATTTCGATCGGGTGATCACACTTGCCAGATGCGTCCGGACTCCTTGTTGAAGAAGGAAGTGGTCATAACAGTCGTTCTTTCTACTTTGAATCTAGAATAAAATAAAATTGCGATCAAGACCGTATTAGGTTAAGATTAGCTTAGGATCACGAAGTGAGCGATTTATAGAGCTAAAATCGTATATATTTTAAATAGAGAGGACGAGTAATAGCGTCGGTTACAAAACACGCCTCTACTCATACTAGAAAGCAGC